TCTCTCTCTCTCTCTCTCTCTCTCTCTCTCTCTCTCTCTCTCTCTCTCTCTCTCTCTCTCTCTCTCTCTCTCTCTCTCTCTCTCTCCTCCCTTTCACACCGCTTAACAACAACAGACCTGGCTGCGCTGCGCGTCCCACCGATTCCGCACCACCGCCACACTCCGTTCGCGCACAGCAAACGGCGCGCCACTCGGCCAACGCAGCACAGGGAACGCCGCGTGGAGGTCACAACGAAATTTCGCTCACCGCCGGCGCGGAACCACACGGAGCCCGTTTCGCATAGGCCTGCCGCGCCGTGACATAGGGAACGCCGCACGCGGGCCCATTCGCACACGACTGGCGCGGAGCCGCGCGGAGCCCAATTCGCACTGGCCTGCCGCGCGATGACAAATCGCTCCACCAAATCCCTGCGCCTCCAGCCTTTTTCCCTGACCCAACGTGACGTGCGGCACCGATTTTCGCTGGGCCCGCTGGGAAGCATCACGTTGGGCCCTTTACAGTTTTTATAGGATTAGAGATTTATTGTTTGAATGAGAGAGGCGGCGATAAGGACGAGGAGTTGGTTGCCGAGTGAAGAGGGGATTGTCATTGGCCCTTTGCTGGTATACTTCTTCTTCTTCTTCTTCTTCTTCTTCTTCTTTCTTCCTCCTTCTTCTTCTTTCTCTCTCCCTTCTCTCAATTTCATTCATTTCTTTTGCAATTGGACGGCATTGTGCTTTCTCATCAATTTTGCACTTCGGAATTTGCCAGGATCGTAACATTTGCCAAAATTTATACACTTTTCCAAGACCACTGCAGTAAGGAAGAAAGTTATGGGTTCAGGTTTCAGCTCGTGAAGCCAGAACTCTTTCCATTTGTCTTTTTCGACAGACCGTGGGTCATTAGTCTGAAAGTATCCCACCTGGTTTTCTGTCCAGATACATGTACTGGAGCCAGGCCCATTGTTGGGCTTCTACCTCGGACAACTTTGGTGCTCCTACTTCACGAGTCGAAATCTCAACCCAACCCATAACTTTTTTCTAGACTGTAGCGCTCTGGAAGAAACCTATATGTCTCTGCAAACTTGTGCAAAGCCTCCACACGAACATACATTTATCGGGCCTGTGGCTGAAGTCGAGGACAGTATCTGATCGGTTTGATATGTCGTCCGTGGTCCATCAGATCAAACGGTACTAAATCAATCTTTTTGCGGTGAAAACTCACGTCCTCGACCAAAATTCGAATTGGAAAGAAAAATGAAGAAAAAGAATCGGGATGCAGCCAATCTTGGCCGCTGATGTACCAAGATTGGCGGCCTGGATCAACTGCCTCACATTTGTCAAGCACGGGGTCTACTGGCCCCCCTCTACTTTTTTTTTCCAGCGCCCGTGCCCTCCGCGAGGCTGCGGGAGGAAGCCAGGCCACTTTTTTGTCGAATTTCGCCCCCAGCCAAAATGCACTGGGGGCGACCGGGGGCCGACCGGGACGGCTGACCGGCCGGTCCAACCGGGAGCCTCCCGCCGGGGGAGGGGTGCCCGGTTCATCCGGGGACCAGCACTGACCAGATCACTATAGCTGACTTCTCTCTTTTTTGGGGGAGCTTTTGATGATCGGTCTCTCAAAGTCAAAGGAAGCTTTCGTAATGTTCTCAAAATTCAGGGGAAAAAAACAAAGCACATAGCCTCGCCAGCTAGAAAAAAACATTAATCATTAAATGACACCTTTTCCATTTTTCCAAAGATCTCCTGGCATTATAGGCACTGACTGACCGACCGACCGATCAACCGACGGCCAAACAGACAGATATGCAGACACAGACAGACAGACAGACAGACAGACAGACAGACCAACCGACCGGCAGACAGACAGACAGTGGGGGAGAAAGGACCGATTGAAGATCTACAGTGCATGAGTGTACTCCAACTTTCTTGAAGGTGGGACCTATTGGAGTCTGTTGTTCACCATGACCTTGTTAAAACCAAAAAATAAAGCAACGTGAGAAACATAGAAGTCACTAAAGATCACACGCACGCACACGTGTGTTGTAGATTATGTCCATAACAGCAGCCCCTGCTCCATGAGTGGATCCCAAATCGAAGCAGCTTTACCTCGATTGCAGACAACGAACCACACTTGAGATGAGCCAATCCAACAACAAAACAGTTTTGCCTCTATAGCACAAAAGTCTGTATGCATGCACATTGCACACACACACACCCACACACACACACACACACACGCACACACACACACACACACACACACACACACACACACACACACAGAATATACAAAACCCAAAGATTACCGCTATTACATGTTTCATATGTTTCCTAGTAAACATTATCACATGATTCCCCCCTTCCTTCCAAACTCACTACCCCTTCATTAATACCAGGAATTTAACCTGCCTTTCAGATACATTTTACCAGTCTGACGAGAGACTCCTAATCTTGGGATCCATTGTGATCATATACTACCACCTGCCCTACTTCAACCACCATTTCCCATTTACAACCGAGGGATGTTGCCAACTTCATGTGCAAAAACAGGAAGGAAATGCACTAGAATTTTCGGAAGCAGGAGGAGCCGTGTGAGATGACGAATACCTCACATAAATCCATGAGAGCTGAAACAATTAGCATCCAGTAATTACCAGGGCAGACGGAACCTACCAGACAGCAGCCAGTTCTGAAGCAGCAATGTAAATGACCTTATATCTGGAGTAGATTCCACCCCAAGGAAAGAGTACGACCCCCGTATTTGACCCCTCCTGCTCCATGCAAAGATTTCAGCAGTGAATGCCGTATTATCGTCTTTTTTTTCTGATAGATGCATAACAGCCTACCGCTGGTTAGCACCTGGGAAAAGGCGCACAGCTCCGGTCCCCAACGTGCAGTCCACGTTCTAAAAGGGTGCGCAACAGGGAACTCAGTTCGGGAAGCGACATTGCTGAGCTACATATAGAACACGAGAAAGAGTGTGCAACAGGGAACTCAATTCGGGAAGCGACATTGCTGAGCTATATATAGAACACAAGAAAGCGTGCGCATAGCCCGCAACGTGGCAAATGCTGTGGATCTAGCACACATTTTGTAGCCATGCATGCCAGCTGATACTTCATTCCACTGAATCCACTCACCATCAACCACTCAATTCTTGGCTAACAGCCCTCTTCACCCTTGAACTTCACCCTACCGCACTAAGTCAACGAGCGCAGATCTGACACCAAGCAATCACCAACATCAAAGAAACTACCAAGGGATTCCCACCATGTTCACTTTCAGAAGGCCACCGCACTCAGCCAGTGCACACGGGTCTGCCAGCAGACGATCACCAACCTCAAAGTAACTATCGTGCGGTGCGATTCTCCCCAAGTTCTGCCACCGCGTAACTCGCTACTACGCTGTTCGCCACAGACTTTGTCTCTTTTTCCAGCCTTTCTGTGGCATACGATTGTGTGTTCTTTCCTATATAGCACCGTCAGCACTACAGCTTACACAACCCTTCCTACCCTTTCCCACTCCCCCCCCTGCCCTGCCACACCACCCATTGCCCTCTCCCTTCTCCCTGCACTACAACAGACTTGCTCCGACCAAAACCTCCTCCACATGTTAACTGAAGTAGAAAGGCGTAACAGCAAATGATCGTTTGCCATTCATTCCTGAATCAAGAAAGAAAGAAAGAAAGAAAGAAAGAAAGAAAGAAAGAAAGCAAGAAAGAAAGAGCCCTCTCCTTTTCAATATCATTCCCAACTCCGAACCAGACTCCCGCCCTTCGTTCTTCTGGATAGAAAGCAGTCCATCCTCTCTCTTTCACAAGCCCCATTAGGCACTCACGCTAAACCACGAGTACACCTGGGCCTGGCAGTGCTTGCAACGTGCGCCAAGCTTTTTTCCGAACGGCCAGCAGCGCACTTCTTTTCTGTTTTGGCTGGCGCCACCAGCCAGCCATTGCCGTCCGACAGCCCCGAGCCTCCGAAAAATTTGTAGGTGATCCGCAAGGCTGGGGCCCGTGGGCCCGTGTACTGGCAGTTTAAAGCCAACTCAATGAGCGCACACTTGATTCTCTGCCGGAATCCATTATCAGAGATGCTTAAAGTCTCATCAAAACAATTTTTATTCAGAGCACAGATGTTCAGTTCAGTCATTCTATCTTGTTGCAGTTAATGCTTTACTTGCATTTCCTACACTTGCTGTATCTAGAGCGGACGAACGAGAACTTTGGACTCCTAACACGCTCTGCGGAAGGCTGACCAGGAGATTACTTCGAGATCCTTGGCCCCACTTAAACGTGTACCAGTGACCTAATATCTGAAAGTTTAAAGTTCAACCATCTACAAACTCCACTTGTTTCACGGCATGCCTCCTCTTGGCCTTGCCAACGATACCGCGGAAACGAGCGCGGCCAGGTCTCTCCGCCCTCTCTCTATTTGTTGTACATGCGAGTGCGCATGCACATGCCCACAATTGAGAAGCGTGTCGACAGTGTGCGGAGGGAGAATTCCGCTGCCATGCATTCAATGCCAATGGCAGAGTCGGCGTCCTGTTGCAATGCACACCGAATTGCGATGATGATCGAGGGATGGCGAGAAGCTTGCTGCCATGCATTGTATCACGATGACCATCCATGAAAACAAGTAAAATGCCCGATGTCGACAAGACAGGATGTCGTGTCCTAAGCATGCACAACACCACCTGCATGGTTTACGCAACTAACATGCTTCACGTTCCAACTACTACTGACTCTTAGCTTTTTACAACGGACTACTGACTCTTCGCTTTTTACAACGGACAAACAACAGACACCATTCTGTCACAGCTCTAAGTATGAAGTGTTACCTACCTACCTACCTACCGCTATGTCTTACGAAAGAAAACAAGAGGGACGTACATCAACTAGCAAATGACGTGTTGCAGCCATTGCACAACTCCTTCCGCCCTCATCAATCCCATTACGAAAAGCGTAGATGGGCCTACGCAATCCTCTCTGTACAACCCTCCAGAAGAGGCCGCAGATTGATTGACTACGTTCTAAAGAAACAAAAACGGTTGGGGCATCGCATCATCAGAGTATCTCAATGGCCCCAAGGTGGCAAGGCCCCTAATCTGGGAGCATAGCCGGACGCAGCAGCGGAGTTTCGGTAGCCGTGGTACTCTGGTATGCATCCACCGTAACAACATTCTGAAGGAGACTCCACGTTACGATTTTTTTTGCTCTTCTTCTAAAACCGCCAACCAAGAAGAGCAAGACTAATACGATTCCTCCGCAAAAGGCGGCCTAATAAAAGTAAGCAGCGGAAGAGTGACGGATCATCATCGTCGTGCAAAGGGGCCTCCTAGAGTCAAATTCATCCCATTGGGGGAGACCCCCCTGGCAACGACCAATGGAGAACGGCATATTGCCTTGGAAAACGCGGCGCAGGCAGCACCATACCATCATCATGAGCTCCATGGGTGGGAAAGCAGTCCCGGGTCCCCTTTCATCGCCAGTTTGCCGACATGCTCCCCCTGTGCCCACCTATACATACCCTGAGCACCAGAGAAAACTCTGTCCATGCCCGGGCAAATCTCGATCTCACCTCAGTGCTCGCTCCACTGGATCAACTTGACGTCTACATCCCTTCCTGCACCATCTTTCAAAGGGGTCTCTGTGCATGCGAGGAAGGATCTCGATCTCACGTCCGTGCTGGCTCCACTGGATTGACTTCGAGGTCTACATCCCTTCCCGCACCATCTCCCAAAGGGGGCTCTGTCCATGCGCGGACGGATCTCGATCTCACCTCAGTGCTGACTCCACTGGATCGACTTGAGGTCTATCCCTTCCTGCACCATCTCCCAAAGGGGGCTCATTTCTCGTAGCTTCTCCACTTGCTTCACTGTCATCTCAATCGCTCTGTCGATCTCCTCTTCGGCTGTAAACCGCCCGATGCCAAACCGTATGGACGTGTGCGCCATGTCTTCCTCCACTCCAAGAGCTCGCAAAACATAGGATGGCTCGAGACTTGCACTCGTGCACGCACTACCTGACGACACGGCGACTTCCTTCAAACCCATCAATAAACTCTCCCCTTCCACGTATGCGAACGAGAGATTAAGGTTGCCAGGGTATCGTGCCTCTAAATCGCCGTTCACGACGACTGATTTCAGCCTAGAGGTCAGCCCGTCATACAGTTTCTTCTGGAGCCTCTTCACGTGCGCGGTGTCCCTTTCCATTTCCTGCTCAGAAATTTCACATGCAGCACCCAGGCCAACAACAAGTGGTGTCGGCACCGTGCCACTCCTCAGTCCTCTCTCTTGGCCGCCTCCGCTCATTTGTGCCTCGATACGAACCCTCGGACGTCTTCGAATGTACAGCGCACCGACCCCTTTTGGCCCGTACAGCTTATGTCCGCTGATGGACATCAGATCCACCTTCATGTCGTTCACATTTATCGGTATCTTGCCGACCGCCTGTGCTGCATCCGTATGGAAGAAGACCTTCCTTTTTCGACATATTTCACCGATGTCCTTGATAGGCTGCACCACCCCAATTTCATTGTTCACGGCCATGATCGAGACAAGTGCTGTGTCCTCACGGATCGCTTCCTCCAGCTCCTTGAGATCTATTAAGCCATTTTTCTGAACGGGCAAGTACGTCACATCGAACCCCTCCTGCTGCAGGAAGCGGCACGAGTCGAGCACGCATTTGTGCTCCGTTTGCGCTGTGATCAAATGCCGCTTTTTCTCCCGGTAAAATCTTGCCACACCCTTGATGCTTATGTTGTTCGACTCGGTCGCACCCGACGTGAAAATTATTTCCTTCGGGTTGGCACCAATCAGGTGAGCCACCTGCGCACGCGCCTTCTCCACCGCCTCTTCGCTCTCCCACCCATACATGTGAGTCCTGGAGTGGGGGTTGCCATACTGCTCAACAAAATACGGAAGCATTGCATCTAACACGCGCGGGTCCACCGGCGATGTCGCCTGTACGTCTAGATATAACGGTCGCCCAGCAAGGTTTACTCCTTTGATATCGATCGCCGGAGAAGGCTCAGCAGGAGCCACAGGTGCTGCTGCTGCCGCCGCAGTTCCCATGCCGTACTTCCATTGCAACTGGCTCAACGGCCTCAGCAGGAGGCTTGACGTCCTCGACAAACTTTGAACCTTGCCAGTCTGTGGCAGTGGGGCTGCGGCTCTCGCTCTCTGGGCCAATCCATGCCTCGCAAGACAAAAGAACTTGCCCAAAAGAGGCCTCGCACGGTTGGATACATTCGCCATCTCTGTTTTATATCTTCTTCTTCTTCTTCTTTCAACCTCACACCAAAAATAGACCTGTGTACCTGTCAAATGTCGCAAATGCCAATCATTAGCAAATAACTCTCAAACTTCGCAAATGCCAATCAATCTCGTTAGCAATTCACTGTCAAATTATGCAAATGCCACAAATCATTCGCAGTCCAATCCAATTGAGCACAAAGGACGAAAACAGGATGGCACAAGCAGCCACAGGAAAAGAAATGACCAGCTCAATATACAATCAGATTGCCCACAAACATAAGCCGCGGAACAACCACAAACACACACTTCGTCCCACTAATGCAACAGTAATGTAAGAGGATGCCCAAGCATAGGCAGTACACCGTCACACCAATGTTAATGTTCCCCCAAATAAATCCGACTGAGGAGTGGACAAATGGGCTCCGCGCTTCACAGTGAGTGTGATGTGTGTGGTTCACATAGAGATCGCTGGACAAAAAAAGAGTTTTGAGCTAGGCCAGTTGGTACACCCAAATGAACTGTGGAAATATGAATCAGACCCAAGTTCCGAATCCAGATACAATCAGATGAGCAGAATAGAATCCTTCTGGATTACCTGGGGCCGGTCAGTCCAATGACGACATCTCAAGGCCGTTGCCCTTAATTTAAAGCAAAAAAAAAAAAAAAAAAAAAAAAAAAAACCGTGTGAAAGGTCAAGGTCGGCAGTCCAAATGTACAAGGAGCGTTGGAAGTCATCAGACCGTCAGTATCTGAGCACAAGCAGCAAGGAGGGGGGAAACAAGGAGAGGAAAAGCGACATCTTCCTCTGGGATACCCCAGCAAAAAAGGAGCGGAGAGAGAGAAAGAGGGGGAGGGGGGGGAGAGGGGGGAGGAAGGAAGAGGAAATGATGAAGAGGAAGAAGATCATGATGATGGGTTAATGTAAGGATAAGGTGTTCTCCAACCAAGACGAAACGGTGCTGGCTTCTAATGGTGGACAGGGATAGATGGAAGATGATGTGGATGAGGGGGGAAAGGAGGAGAAGGGAGGGGGGAAAGGAGGAGAAGGGAGGGGGGAAAGGAGGAGAAGGGAGGGGGGAAAGGAGGAGAAGGCAGGGGGAAAAACAAGGAACAGAAGCAAGCGAAGACGAAAGGTCGGCAGAAGAGGACAGAGAAGAGAAGAAGGCAGAAGTCAAAAAGAGGGGAAAGAAAAGAATATACAGAGGGGAGGAGGAGCAAAGGGGGAGGGAAACCAGGACGAAATGGGGCAAAGGAGAACGAAGAGATCAAAGGGTTGAATACACTGAGACTGCTATCATAAATGACGCGAGTCTTCACCCGACATTATAGCCGCATTTGGGGCAACTTTCAGTCCAGGTGCAGGGATAATGACCGAGCGTGGTCTTCTAAGACGGTGATGTTGGCAGCCATAGAGGAGGAGGTGGAGGTGATACGGAAGGCGGGAGCTAACTAAGGCAAGACCAAAGCGAAGCAGGAGCAAAGCGACAAGGGGAATGCGTGAAGCACAGTATTGCAACAACTTCCCTCAGTAGATGGAATTGGACATCTGGAAAAGAGATCTCCAGATTGCCAAGCGAAAGAGTAAAGACATCTGGAGAGAGATGTCAAAGGATGCTACAGCTCATCATCATCTAGGGAAAGAGTTGCGGAAGGACTAGGAAATGGGCAGGGAAATGAAGACGAGGTGTCAAGCGAGAGACACCGCAGAGGAAAGGCGAGTCCCCAAAATGCCGAGGGGTATCGTCTACACCAGGGAATGGGCAAGTGGGGCGGTTCTTTTCGTTTTTTTTTTAATTACACCGGGGGAGGGGGGGGGAAGGGGGGGGGAAGGGGGAGGGAGTGAAAAGGAAGGGTGGGCTTACCACCCACAGAGCAGAGGAGGAAGAGAGAGGAGTATCTGGAGCTAAGATAGAAATAATGAAAGTTTTCATCTGCAACTGGGATAGAAAGGAAAGAAAGCCTTCTACATACCTATGGGGACGAAGGAGAAGAAATTTGCCGGCTATGCGGTGGAAGATAACAAAGGTTCTGAAAATAAAAAATAAAAATAAAAATAAAATAAAAAATAAAATAAAAAGAAGATAAGAAAGGTCCTGCCGCTAGGCAAGGTGCTTTCTACGATCTGCAAGTGGGGAAATCATTGATCCTGTCCTCTCTCTAGGACATCCGTTAAATTTTTTGGAACGATACAGAGAAGATTAGCATGGCCCCTGCCCAATCTTAACGGGAAAAAAAAAAGGTCATTGATGCTCAGTACCTCGCTACCAGTTGCTGACCCAGCTGTTTTTTTTTTTTTTTTTTTTTTTTTTTTTGCTGTTGTTTTTTTTGAACGGTTGTTTCTTTTACGGACCACACCACATTGTCAGAGAGCTATCTTGCTCTCAACGATCGATCGCTGAATGGGAAAATCAAATCAAATCAAATGAAAGGTGGTATTGATCATACTGTCACAGGGCGACGATCTGCCAGTGGGGGAATCATCGATGATATTGACCATACTGTCACAAAAGAGGGTTCTCCAATACAGCACAAGACTCTAGTGGGACACGGTGCAATAGGTATGGAGCCAAGGAATTGGGGAGGGGGGGGGGGAACCAACAGAACAAAGAAATGGCCCGATCTTTTCTGTTTTTGTTTTTGACTTAGCGCCACGTCAGCAGCGATAGTTAGGGGGTACGGGTTATATAGATAGCGGGGAGGGCGCCGTATTCTCTCTACTCTCTCTCTCTCTCTCTCTCTCTCTCTCTCTCTCTCTCTCTCTCTCTCTCTCTCTCTCTCTCTCTCTCTCNCTCTCTCTCTCTCTCTCTCTCTCTCTCTCTCTCTCTCTCTCTCTCTCTCTCTCTCTCTCTCTCTCAGTTGCTGACCCAGGTTGATAAACTGGGTGATTAATATCGACTAGGATTGATCCACGTTTACTTAAGAACGAGTGGTGGGGGAGCGGGACGTGGATCGGGATCGGGATAGGGTTGAATAGCCAAGGAGGTTAGGTTCAGTGATCAATCGATTAAATGATTGATTGATTGGTTCAGATCGCCAGGGGGGCGCACACGCAGGACAGGGAAGATCAAGCACCAAGTTTACCCCCCCATCTGGCACTTATCGCGGATGCAGGAGGGCGTGGAAAATCATCTGGATTGGGGATTGGGGGGGATTTACTAATTAGCATGGATCCAGGTGGCGAGGTGTATGCAGGACGCGGGGTGTTAAGACCGGTGCCAGTTTTTTTTTTTTGTTTTGTTTTTTTTTTACCCTGGTAATAAAGGGTGAAAAGAGTAATTTGTTGGCTGTTGCTGGATCGAGCGGTTCGTTTGGAATTATCAAGTAATAATTGGTTACCCCCCATAGATCACAGACTACGAGATTGACAGATTGGCATCGCCTGATTGCAGAAAGCCACGTGGCTACAAGATAACGAACCCACGTCAGAAAAGAATGATTTGTTGGCTCCTGCTGGATTGGATTGAGCGTTTTTTTTTTTTAATCGGTTAGTAGATTACCCCATAGATCAGACTATGAGACTGACAGGTTGGCATCGCCTGCTTAGAGAAACCCCAAGTGGCTAAAAGATAAAGGATCCACGTGGGAAAAGAGTGATTGGTTGGCTCCTGGTGGATTGGATAGATCGTGTTTTTTTTTTTTTAATCATCGGTTACCCAGATAGATCAGACTACCGTCTTCCCCCGAACATAACGCAGGTACATCAGAAAAGAGGGTGCGTTGTGTTCGGGGGAAGATAGTATGAGATTCACAAGATGACCTCCCCTGATTAGAGAAAGCCACGTCGTTAAAAGATAAAGGATCCACGTGGAAATCTTGCTGGATTGGATTTTTTTATCATGTTTTTTTTTAACCATCGGTTACCCCATAGATCAGACTATGAGATCGACAGGTTGGCCTGCGCACGGTTGGAGAAATCCACGTGGCTAAAAGATACAGGATCCACTTGGGAAGGCCTCGCCTGATTGGAGAAAAAGCCACGAGGCTCAAAGATAAAGAATCCACGTGGGCAAAGAGTGATTTGTTGGCTCCTGGTGGGTTGGTTCGAGCGTTTTTCTTTGAATCAGACTAATACCAGGTTGACACGTTGGAATCGCTTGATTGGAAAAAATCAGTCCACGTGACAGAAAGATAGGAATCCACGTAGCTAAAAGATAGGCATCCACGTGGCAAAAAAATAGGGATAGAGGATCCATCCACGTGGCAAAAGACAGGCATCCACGTGGCAAAAAGATACGCATCCACGTAGCAAAAAGATAGGCATCCACGTGGCAAAAAGATAGGGATGGACTGGAGGAGAAGGTGGCGAGGAAGGAGCATCCCAGGCTTGCAGCAAATACCTGTGCTTCATGATCGGACCCAACGTCTCTTGTGAATGCAAATAATCAGAGGACACGTGGCACATACGCGAAGGCTACTTGTCGACCAAGGAGCGGCGTTCTATTGCTGACCGCAAAGAATCTATCTATCCATGTCATCAATCAATCAATCAATCAATCAATCAATCAATCAATCAATATCACAATCACTCGATCAAGCAATCAATCAATCGATTACTCAATCAATTGATCAATCAATCGAATCAGTCGATCAATCAATCAATCAATCAAGGGAAAAATGCATCTGTACCCCACTCAAAGATGGGAATACCGGCTATAACTAGTCCCAGTGCCAACTTGCATCTATATCCCGACATGCCCAGTCCGGGTATCAACGGCCGGTGGAAATTGTTTGCATGCCCTGGAGTCCTGAACTGAGGTGGACCCAGGTTGCTACCGCGAAATTGCGGTTATACCCAACTACCGGAAGGCATAAATTCCGGAAATACCCCCAGGCACAAATTATGGGCATACCCGGGACCTGAGGTGGACCGGCCAAATTATTCATAAAAAATACCTTTCTCGGCCTTTTGGCTAAGATCAACTGTAGTATCTGTTCTGATCAGTTTAATATCTGATCCGTGGTTCATCGGGCCACAAAACAAAAAAAAAAAAGGAAAAAAATATATATAAACTCCGACGAAACAGTTTGTCACAGCCCCTCGTTTGTTGTCCTCTTC